CATGTTTCTCCCGAGGTGGATACTACCATTTCCATAGACCGCACCAACTGTCTTGGTTTTTAGCTTATTTTTAAGTAGGATTTTTTACCTTTTCCTTTACAGTTTGGAATGCACAACTAAGGATCATAAATGATTTTATTAAAACCATTCTAGAGCTTAAACCACTTAATAAATGCTGTGCTTATTAACAATGAAAGACATTCCAATGATTAATATCTATTCTGGACATCTTTTGAAATTGCTATCAGAATTGCTACTATATTACCTTTTTTCCATGGTGGAGAGTAAGCACAGGGCAAATTTAATTTCTGAAGCAACTTAAAATTTGGAGCAAAATAAGAACATATATTTGGGGTTGGAAATGAGGTGTCGTTATAAAGTTGTGTGTCTAAGGTGAGAGTTCTCAACTTTGGAGGTAATTGTAGAGTATTGGGGAGAGGAGGGTCATAAACTTCGATTAGAAAAAAATTGTTTTATTTTTATTTTCACTAACCTCTATTAAAAATAACATTTCCTTTCATTATGAATGAAGACAACACTCCACCGTCATATTAGCAATCAATGTGATTTGACTTAGCAGTACCATCTTTGTGAATATCATATTTTCATACCATATTTCAGTTGCTGCAGAGATCTCAAAATACAGTTTATGTTCATCACTACTTTGAAACTGATAGCCCCCTGGTAGATCTTAATAGAGAAGCACATATTACTTTATCACAAATCTTGTTTTAAATATTTTGATAACTACTTCAATTTAATTGGTTTCCTTTATAATCCTATGTATTTTATGCATTTAACAACAAACTATGTTGGGAAAGAGCCCATAGGCTTCACCAGACTGCCAAAGGGTATGATTACACAAAAAAGTTTAGAACTTTTTCCAAAAGCAGAGTTCCAAAAAAATTTAGTGCATTGGCAGGTTCATTGAGATAAATGTGCAGCCTCTCACCATTACTACTATGAGGATATTTATGGGGATATAAAATGCTTGGATATTATTTCCCTTTCTAGTCTGTGACCTTGGTCAATTATTTACACTCTGTAACTCAGCCTCTAGCTATATAATGGGGATAAATAGATAACAGTAACTTCCTCATAGGGTTTTTGTGAAGATTATTTCATTCAAGGTTGTTTAGAACAAAGACAAACACGTGGTGAGTGCTCACTAATTAGTAGCTATTATTCATATCACATCTTGTACGTGAAAACAATTTGCACTTTAGAAATTCCCCCATACCATTATTTATTATTATTTTTTTTGGAAGGCACCAGCCAAATGGCTCCTATCCAGTGAAAATTATGGAGGGTTGACCAACTGAGAAGCTTGAATGTGGGTCACCATAGCTTTTCTAAGATGGACAGTTTTTTGAATGGCAGTAATCATATAGGCCAGAGGGTAGGTAAAGAGAGGGAGCACAGCCCTGGAGTTAAATCTAGGTTTCCTCTGAGTCTGAAATGTATAAATTGTGATTAAAGGCATCTTACATCTTTTGTCTCATCTGTAAAACAAACAATAACTTCCTCCCAGAGCTGTCACAATTAAATGGGGTACAGATTAAAACAGGTTCATAGACATAGGTACATAGAATGAACTCTGCAAATATTAGCAGCCTTCCATTTCTGCCTTCCTGTCTTCACTTCTATGACCAACTCTGAACCTTTGTACTTTACTATTCTTCTGGATTTATTTAAAGATTCATAGTAAATTCCAATTTTAAAAAAACTGAAAAACTCCTAATGGACATCCTTCTTCTACTTTACAGAGGCAATTACCCAACTTGGCCATATAAGAGAGGAGCCACCTGCGGTGCCTGCCCCAATAATGACAAGTGTTTGGACAATCTCTGTGGTGAGTAAAAGGAACAGTCTACCAATAGAATAATGTAACAGTAACATGTAACTTTCTACAGAATTAACAGTGAAACCATGTTTTATCCTAACGGTTATCTTCAAGGAGACTGGCATCAAGTAGCAATTAAACCAATGGCTTACTGTTCTAGGAATACGTTTAAGATAAATTTAAATGTGAAAATCACATTCTTTTTATTTAGTTCTCATTGGTCAAAAAAAAAAAAAAAAACTGTCAGAAACTGTAGACCAAGATTCCTAAGATTTGTTAATTTCAGCGAGATCAGAAATAAGTATAACAGGTCATCCAAACAAATAGAATTTTTTTTTTTTTTTTTTTTTTTTTTTTGAGACGGAGTCTTGCTCTATCACCCAGGCTGGAGTGCAATGGTGCAATCTCAGCTCACTGCAACCTCCATCTCACGGGTTCAGGCGATCCTCCTGCCTCAGCCTCCCAAGTAGTGGGGATTACCACGCCACCATGCCCAGCCTGGCCAACATGGTAAAACCCCCCTCTACTAAAAATACAAAAACTAGCTGGGTGTGGTGGTGGGCCCCTGTAATCCCAGCTACTCAGGAGGCTGAGGCAGGAGAATCACTTGAGCCCGGGAGGTGGAGGTTGCAGCGAGCAGAGATCGTGCCACTGCACTCCAGCCTGGGTGACACAGTGAGGGTCTATCTCCAAAAAATGAAAATAAAGCTGCAACATGGCACTTTTTATTAGCCAGACAGCATTTAATGAAGAAGTGTAGAACCTGCATGCAGGTAAATTTTCAAGGATGTTTTACTAAACATCCAAGCAAAATTTTGCTTTGTGATTTTGAAATATTAGTAATTGGCCAAGAATTTATTTCTGGTTCTTGTTCTAGATACAAGCCCTTCCATCCCAGTATGTTTTTATTTTTACCACGGTGTGAAGGGGAAACTTCTATTAAGCTGTGCAAATCCTGTGGTACTTTTGTGTCCATATTTGTAACAAACTGAACTCAGAGCAGCCGGGCTAGAGTAGGGTGCTTAGAATAGAGGAAGGACAGAGTGGGCCAAGTTTCACTGCATGACATTTAGTTTGGAAAAAACTGTTCCATTGCTCACATGTTTTCTAAGGTCCCTTCCAGGCCTAAAATTATAAAATTTTACCTATTAAACTGCTTGTTCTCCTCCTTCCCATTTAATGTTGAATACTTATCTTTACACACAATAGTACTTTTGCAAAGTTTTCTGAGCCATTTTTCTCCCAGTCCATTCTTTATTTCACTCATATCACTCTTGTGAAGAAAACTCAGTTAACATGTAGCCACAATGCAGCTAATATCAAGGTATCAACATATATTCACTGAATTCTTCCTTTCACATTGCTGTAGCCCTTCAAAACATATATATATTTCTTCCTTTCAAGTTAACCATTATACATAAGGGCTAAAACTTTGGATTTTAGAACCAGTATGCCAAGTTTCGGTGCAATTTCCAGTTCGACCACTGTGACTTTGGGCAAGTTTCTGCTTCTATTTTTTCAATGAAACAATCTAATGAAAAAAATAAGTTTCCCTTTAAAAATCTAGGCAATTAGTAACACTACCACCACCACAATGACAAAAACACTTCTGGTTTTAGCTTTTGATCTTTGGTGATCTAACTTGAGATGATCTTTAATCTTGGGGAATAACATTTAGAAGATTAAAGCTGTAGTCCAATAATGAAAACCCTTGGACTCTTGAGAAAACACATGCTAACTTGTGTTTATAAGATGTGAAACTCGTTACTCATTTATTTCAGATAAGTGCTCTTACAGATTGAGCTTGTCACTAATTTCCTATTCTCAAAGTTAGATTTATGTAATTTGTTTTCATGTAACTTGAAGCTTACTTGAAAGTATTCTACTCTTCGCACTAATACTGAATAAGTAAGATGTGACTAAAAAACTTAAGGATCACCATTTGACCTTTTATAAGGTCTGATGAAGGTAAAGGTTAGAGGATAAAAGCTTTTATTTAACAGATTCCATCTCAGACAAATTATGGCTAGCACTGGAGCATAAATTCCTTTGTGATCTCCTAGATACTGCTGGTAATTCAATAAATACCCTTGGAGGCCAAATCAGGACTGTTTTAAAAATGTGCTGGGCATACTAGTGGTACATAAGATGATTTTAGCTATTTCACAGATGTACATTTGTTTCAATAGTTGAATATTGAACATTTAAAATATATATATAAGAAAAAATAACTAGAACATCACACTCTTGATTTCATGGACATAATTGCCAAGAAAAGTGAGGGTAGCATCTTTACAGTAATTCACCACAGACAAAGCCCACTCACAGGTATGAAGACCAGGGATGCTCACAAGTGCCCAGAGGACCAGATGATTGATGGGTTCTACCACGAGCATCTATTAGCGACTGCTGCAGAACTGCTGTGGAAAAGGTTTCTATTTCATAAAAGAAAGTATCCAGAAGGCTAAAGGCAGTTGTGGAATTTATTTCTTCCCAGTGCTCTGAATGTCAAAATTTGAATAAAGCTCAGTGAAAGGAGGGGTATAATTAATGACTTGATAGCCAAACATCGTAATGATGAGTTAGTGACAGACTGGATGAAAGAGAGGTCACTGTCTTTTTATTATGGACTCATCATAAACAGTGTCACTCTTCTCAGGAAGAAACTTATTTTTAGAAATATAGTTTAATAAATTTCTCACATTATTTCTAATATTTTTTATTTTTTAAATTTTATTACCTGCTAGTTATATGTAAAGTGATTTTCCATTTATAGTAATGGTATAGTTTCCTTTCTATAAAAGGTTTATAAAGTTTATATAGAAAGTCAACTTAAAAATACCAAGTTAATTCAGTCAGTTCAAAAAATTTTGAATAAACTTGGATAGTCACTGCAATAAAGCCAAAGCCAAAGCCAAAGCCAGTTAATGGTTACAAATAAAGATTTAGCTTTTTAAAACCCTCACCTGTACGTACCCTTTTAATTTTTTTTCTTTCTTCTCCCTAACTTTACAGTTAACCAACAGCGAGACCAAGTCAAACGTATGTACACCAATCTTAAATTGTTTCATTAAGAGCTATGTGAATTCTGTCAGTGCATTATGATGAACAATGTCTAAGAGGATATTCTATGTTTGTTTCACAGGTTACTACTCTGTTGTGTATCCAGGCTGGCCCATATATCCACGTAACAGATACACTTCTCTCTTTCTCATTGTTAATTCAGTAATTATGATACTGTCTGTTATAATTACCATTTTGGTACAACACAAGTACCCTAATTTAGTTCTTTTGGACTAATACAATCCAGGAAAGAAAAAACCCAAAAATCAACCTTATTCAAATATGGCTTTTTTTTTTAACCAATAATAGTGAATAACAATTAGGTGTATTTCTATTTTAAAACATTTCAGAAAAGAAAATACATTGCAGCCATACTCTTACTCAAAAGAAGAAACTTCCTAACTCTATCAGATAAACTCATCTTTACTTCCCACTTTTCTATAAATAAGCATTGTTTGCTATAAATAAGCATTGTTTGCAGGTTGCCACAGGTGGACTTTCAGTAAGTAACTTAACCCATGTTTCAGCTTCTAAATCTGCAAAATGAGCAAGGTACAGTAGCACTTTTTAAGGTGATTCTTAGTAACTCCAGTAGCCATTATTACTTTTTGCATGCTGCTTCAACTCTAAATATCTGGTTTTCCCTGTTCTCTTGCAACCTGATGTCTTTCTGGTTTACCACTTTCCCAGATTCAGAACAGAGGAGTAACTAGGGGATCTGATTTTAGAGGCCTTAATTTTCTGTTCATGGACTGTTAAAAGTAAAACCAAATTTTCAAAAGGGATAAACCTAAATATTTGTTTGTTATCATTAAAGGGAGCATCAAATGCTGGGACATCATTATATTTGAAGACTAACCAATGGCATCAGACACTGGATTTAATGGATAATCACAATGGTCGTAATGTATACAAAGACATATATACCACTTTCTAGTACAAAATTTTCAAAAAACACAAAAATATAATAATTTATAAAGAACACTCTTCTATGAACCACCACTACCAAAACAAAACCCTCAGAAAATTTCTCACAGATAAGGCAACTAATGCCTGGTATCTCAAAATCCTTTACAAAAGGAGATAGTTCTAGTCAAGGAGTTTGGGGTATATTTTACTTTTTCTTCTTCTTTTTCTTTTCATCTGCCTCCATCTTCAGCGCAATTTCTTCAGCTGTAAGAGCTCCCAGTTTCTTATTCTTTGCTTTCTTAACCTTTTCCTTGATGCTGGCCACATCAATTTTAGTTTCAGTAGCAGCTAGACAATTTAAAAGCACAATACATGTAACACTTTAGATGTTACCAAGTAAAACAAAGAATATATTTTAAAGCAATAACTTCAGAGTCCTCTTATAATTGAAAAATCACAAAAAATCACAGTATAAAATATAAAAACACCTGCCTAAAGGAGTCAGAAATTTATTCAGACTAATAAATCATAAAATACTTTAATACATAAAAATGGCATGATTGATTGAACCAGTTACTGGATTCAACTATATTAACACTATTTCCTTAAATCGTACTTCAGACTAAATTATTTTACCTACATTCTTTTCCATATTTTGGAACTTCTGAGTCCTCATTATTTTCCATCTTGCACATTAAAATAATTTAAAATTACAAGTATCCCTTCTCAGTAAGTTTAATCAGCTAACCATAAGCTAGAGGTCAAAATCTACTTCCTCTAATACCAAAACAAAAACTTAAAGTTTTCCAAGTATTAATTCAATGAATGACTAATAGTATTCTATTTAACAAGAGTTTGCTGTATTTAACAACATTCTGGTAATAAAGACAAAGACAATTTGGGCGTATTTGGAAGTTCCCCTAACAGGACCCAACTATCTAATCAATGCCAAAAGTCGGAGCAAAATAGAGAAAGGAAGCAGTGAAAAAGAATGCAACTTTTTCTTACTATTCAAAGTACAGTATCACAGCATAAAAGAATCATAAGATAAAACATCATAATGTACAAACTACCCAGCAACCTGAGCAGCGCAGAGCGTTAAAGCCTCCACCGTGTGGAGAAACTACATGAGGTTAACTAGCTATTGAGTACCTTCCAAGCACTCAACTGACAGGTTGTACAAACTGGAAATTAAAATACTTATGACATTTTTACCTTTTATATAACCAATAATCTACCACAGAATATAGTATTTTTAAAACTATTAACAAGCAATATGTTAAATAATGTATTATATCTGTTTCTGACCAAGTCTGTACAATATTGCTGGGGGGCCCTCTCCCCTCAGTGTCACTGTTCACTTTGGAGGGTTACTTTAGGAAGAGGACAAGTGCTACCACAGGGGGGAAAAATGCAGAAGAGGAGAGGATGCATCAAAATGTTATGAGAATGTTTTCTCTTAGTGTCTTTTAAATATTAGGTAAGTGGGAAAGTGATTGTGGTTTCTGCCATTTAAAAACCACAATCACTTTCACACTAATAGCTCATGAATAAGACCTGTCAGTGTCCTTTAGTCCAAAGTGATGAGAAATGCATGTTACCAATATAGAAGCCAAACTCTAAGCCAAAATCACATAAAGAAAAGAAAAAGTACAACTTCTGATAATTCCTCTTTGAGAGGCATGACAGCAGAGCTCAGGGATCGTCTTGCTTGCATTTCTACAGAAGACGTACTGGCTGCCCTGGGTTTGTATCTTTCACAACAAAGAGTCTTTCCTAAGCACAGACCAGAGGTCAGGAGAGGACTGTCAATCCAGTTTGCACTGAAATAGGCATTAGCTGCCTCTAAAGTCCTTAGGATCAGTAATTACTGAAATGCTAAGAGAACTGATGAAAATATACGATTATTTCTTAAAGAGATTCAGACAAATTCACTATGGGTTTACTTTTCATTACCTTCCTTAGGTTTCACAATTGGTTTTTCTTTAGGTGGAATAAATGCTTTGTTTCTTTCCTCTTGTTTCTTACTGATGGCTTCTGCTTGTTTAGCCTACATTAATAAATAAAAAATACATTAGTTAAATGTATTTATAGTTACATAATTCAAGTATCTATGAACTTTGCTATTAATATTGTGAGCTAGACATAAAGTACCTTTATTGCTTCCATTTTCTGCCGCTTCTTCTGATTCGCCTTCAAGAAGTATTCACCACTAGCCAATTCTTTATCAATCTGTTGAAAACAGTATTTACAATTTACATCAGAAATAATGTAGAGGAGAAGTCAGGTCCTAAGCAAGTCACAATATCCTTAGGGTAAAAACAATGGGGTCAAACTGATTTATTAATAAAAATGGTAGTGACATAAAGGAAGCAGAGTCTAAGCTGAGGGGAATACATACACAAAAGTGTGGAGGTAGGAAAGCACCTCCATGGAATACAACCCAGAGGAGTTCAGGGATACAGTATGGAAAGTGTGAGAAGAAACTGGAGAGTGAGTTTTGGGAAAATTTGAAGAAGCTTCAATGGCAGACAAAGTACGAGGGATAAGATTTAGAAATGACTGTGGGTTTCCGAGAAGACTGAAAAGACCAAAGCACAATTTTAATGGAGAGGAATGAGGACTAGATGAGAGCCTGGAATAAACATAGTGGCATGGAGAATAAAAGCCAGAATGATCAGGAATTGGTGACTAATTAGCAAAAGCAACAGCTTGTTCATTCAATATACAGCCAACATGTAAAATGTGTATAACCGACTTGTCTGCCACTTATACAGCATTATTATATCTAAGGCACTGTTCTAAGCTCTTTACAATTATTCATTTAATCCTCATTAACGATTCTTTAAGACAGGTATTATCATTACTCCCATTTTAGGTATGGGGAAACTTAAGTACGGATGGGATAAATAACTTGCCCAGTCACATAATGAATAAGTAAGAACAAGACAATCGAGACATCACTGTTTCAAGAAGCTTACACAGCTAAGGAAGAAAGATAAGTCAATTAACTCCAAGAAAGGGTCATAAGAAGTAAGGCAGCTGTTACGGAAGCATGGTTTAATGACTGCCTCACTCCCCGTTCCCTGCAACTACTATCAATTTCCTCCATGATCCAACACTTCCATTGTTTTTTCACTATGATCATCATTTTTCCCATCAATCATCAAATCTTTCCTAAAAGACTCCAAACATGGTTGTGGAAAAAAGAGACATAGAAATCAGTGAGTTCACACGCTGAGTAGAAGTAGAAAGGGAAGGCTTTAGGATATAGCCAAGGAAGGGAATAATGAAGCAAGAACCCCCAGGAGAGAGGTGAAGATGGAATTCAAAGAACACATAGGAAAGGCTGATGCAGGTGGAAGAAAACACAGACGTGAGAGAAGAGGAAACAGAAGGGGTTCTTATCTGGTGGTCTCAAATATTTCAATAAAATGCAAAGTCATCTGCTAAACGGGGAAGGGCACTGAGAGAATTAAGAGGAAACATGAATTCTGAATGAATTTAATCCAAAGATAAAACTTTCTCTAACCTAATTTGGTAGCCACGTTATAGGGAAGACAAGTTTTTAGACTGATCCAAGTTTTAGAGTTTTGCTGAGAAGGTGTGACAGAACTAAAAAGGGGCATGAATCAAAACAATGCTGTGCAAGAACAAAATGGCAACTGGTCATGGTGGGAAAGGAAGCAGAAGATAGTTGACAAAATGGAAAGGAATCATAACTTAGAAAAATGGTGGGTGTTACAATTTAAGATTTCAGAACTAGAACAATCATAGAGCATACAGTCACAAGAATGTTGCCAAAGCAGAGGAAAGAGTACTGCAGACTAAATTGTTGAACTTTTATCCATGAACATTTACAGTGGCTACAGGGACACAAACCGCCTGAATGCAGTTTATAATCAATGTGAAGGCCCCACTGCACACCCCCATGCACGCAGCTGAAAATATACCTATTTATATTTACCCTCACTTTCTTATAGTTCTGCACACACACACGCAATATATATATACACATATCCCACCTGAAATAACCTTCAATAAAGTTTCCGACCAAATATACTAAAATAGATTCCCCTTCATATAAAGTTCAACATTTAGTACTAACCTGACTTTCTGGCTGTGGTGGTGGGAATGGCGTATATTCTTTCTTAACAGTTTTTTTCTTTGGTTCCTTGCGTTTATTCACATTTTTATGTTTGAACTGCGGCAAAAATCTCTCCCAACTTTGTGATCGTAATTCAGAATCTTTTGCCAGCTCTCTCTTAATCATTAAGCTCTTTAGTCATGCAACAAAGTAAAAATTTTTACTTTCCAAAGTCACACATTTATCAAACTCAGACATAAATATTGCTTCTATAAATAATAAAAGAAACAGTTTCTAGTTTCTTTGGTGAAATTAAACCAATCACATAAGGAAAAAGATAAGTTATCACAAACATGTATAATTATTAGAAAACCATTAGAAATTTAATTACAAAATGCAGAATTGTTAAAATGAGATGAAAATAAAACTGACTTTTCAACTATTATTTCATTAAAACATTTAAAAGTCAATTTATAAAAGCCGGGAGGGTTCCTAATTAGCTGATATTCCCTGAAAACAGGAAGTTTTCAGTAGCAACTGAAATATCATAGAAAAAGACAAAAGTAAACTTTCTCATGATTACAGAAAACCAATACTTTCACATTTCCCTATTCCATTTAAATTTTAGACCTTGGAACATCAGAGGATACAAACCAGGGATCAGACATATAGCTTTGTTTTTATCTGCAATATCCCAATGTAACTCAAAATCACTTTCCCCCTAATCTAACAGTGACTTCATAACTTAAGTTCATCAAATTTAAGTGGATTGGTCAACAAACCCATCATAAAATAGTTCTATATACCATGGTTACATTTCCAAGAATAATCAAACTTTGTGCACACTGGGATATAATGGATCTCTCTCAAAGGGGCTACAATTTGAGTGTTAAATTCAAAAAAAGGTTTTAATGCAACATGAGATATTCCAGATTTTAATAGAAAAAGGCAGAATTCTGAAAGATCGTATCTTTAAATATATGGGTGCATAATCTAAGAAAACTGCACTGATATGATCTACAACAAATTCTGTGAAGCTTATTTTCATTGATTAGAACTATATAACACATTACACACTACCCCCTTCAGTAGTTTCCACACTGTGCTCCATAGAGAGCTTCCAAGAAGTACCTACAAAACTGGGGTAAAGTAGGCTGAATTCTACCCCTAAATTACCCAAAATAGCTCTGCTTTATCTGTTTGTGCATTAGAATTTCATAAAACATTTAATTTCAAGAAAGGATTCTGTAGCTAAAAGAAGTATGATAATCACTGGTACAGTTACATAGAATTACCACTCACTTTAATGTTATAAATTGGATGAATATTCTTCATAGTATCTAGGACTACTTTTCTAACCTGAAATTTGCAAAGAAAAATGAATTAGTCACAAGGATTTTAATGAGCTATGGAGGAGAGGATAAATACTGCAAAATATCTAATCAGGTAATGGGTATCAAATTAAATAATTTCATCAAATAATTAATCTAGATCTTTCATAGAGGCAGTCAAACCTCCCTTGAATACAATACAGTTTCTCAATTACTGCTAAAATGTAGCACAGAGAACTAATACAACACTGTATAGCAACGTGATTTAGGAAGAAGAGGGCTGGAATACAAGGACTGCCACTGCATACAGGAAGGTCACTTTCCTGTTCCAGCTTTCTCATTTGTAATATAAAGATAAAATCATATACCTCAAGACTCTATTGTAAGAATTAAATATTTTAAAGACTTTATAAAACTAAAGTATTCAATATACTTAATTATTGCTCCATGAGAAAAGAGCAGACAATTTATGACAAAAAGGGCCAATAGGATTACTATTAAAGGCCCTGGAAAGGAAGCACAACCTCACAAGCCAGATCCAGACAGTAATAGTACCAAAAGGAGTTAAAAGAAATAGCATTGCTCCACAGATTTTTTCACATTTAATTTAAAAAGTTAAAGAAAATGTTCATGAAAAGTTATTAAACATTATACTAAAATTCAAACAAAAGAAAATATATCTTGAAGAAAAGTTTTCAGAGTGTGACCTCTACTGGCTGTATACACTACTGCAAATAACTGGAGTTTTGCTCAATTTTCCCATCATTTGGGCATATGTGACTATTCCATGTTTTTCGTCTGTGCTACAGACTGAAGATCTTAAATGCTCATTTAAATGTTATAGTGGGAGGAGTAATAGTGTGCGGACCTTCTAATTCAGAAATGGATGTCTCCATAGTTGCCAAGGTTGGCCAAAACATGTTAGGGTCCAGAAATGATTCCCTTGAATTATATGACATAAAAAGTATTTACTAATGGGAAATCAAAGCACATTCTAAAAAAATAAAATTATAAAGCATTATCCAATAAACTATATTATAACCAAATTATTTGTTCTCTGCTGAAAATGAATTGAAGATAATACATAGTTCTCACCTCTTTTAAGCCACTAAAAGGTCCAATGGCTGAAACTGTGTTTCCCTGAACCATAATGTAACAATTAGTTAAGAGTTCCAATGCCTGTATCAAGAGATCAGGTTAAAATTCATTACTCTGAAAAATTATTAAGGGAGAGACTCAAGTTTTCCACTAATAAAAAAATACCTTCAATGTAGATCCTTTGGGACCAATAAGCCGTTGTCTTCGTTTTACAAATCTCTCTTTATTCCTTACTAAAGAACCTATTTTAATGATGTCACATGCAACATCATCCTGAAGAATTCGTACTGCCTTTTGCAAAAAAAAAAAAAAAAAAAACATTATCAACATTTTTTACAATTACATTTATTTTCCAAGCCCATGCTATTGTTATCTAAGCACAAATACGAAAACTTGATGGTGGAAGGCGGAAAAGATGGGATGTTATAGGTTAACACTGATGCAAACAAAGGAAAGTCTCTGTAATTTTAGATTTACCTGTTCAAATGAAACACTCCTTGCTAACAGTTTTATCAGATCTCTTGCCCTAATGATGATATATGGATCAAAAGTCTTCTTTGTAGTACGGACAGTCATGCTGCCTTCGATCAGGTCCAGGGTTGCATTAACATGCTACAAAAGGAAAGAGCAAACAAGCAGTTGTCTAAAAATGAGTTTATTTTTAGATAAATATAAAGCCTATCCTAACCAACCTATTAATTTCTGTCACCTCTCAATTCCTATCAATAACTTCCCTGAAGAAGCTAGGTAGTTAAGTATAAATAATGAATACTCAATTACTTTCACACTTTACAGACTATAAGAAACTGGAGCAATTGAAACCATTTACACTTGGTTTTAGAATACTTTGTACCCACTGGAATATAGATTGCCTCTAATTTTAAAATTATAAATGAAACAAATGGGGTCATACTTAAAATCTGACTAAGATAAAAATGTAAAGCTGTACAGCTTCCCTATTCTGGACCCAGCTCCAGTCTACCATCTGCTCCATTGGGTAAGAACTGACTTTCCCTTTCAAACTTTTTTCCTAGCTAATTAGGGGACTAAATACTAAGTAAAAGCAAATTAACATAGTTTCAGAAAAAAGCAACGATTAGAAAACTTAAGCATTAACTTTCAACAGGAAAAAACAGATTTCAACAAAGCAAATTAAAATGCTATTTTCTCACTTGTGAGCATAATCTCAAGAATATTTCAACATAGTTAAGTGTTGAACAATTCAATATATGGTTGGGTCTCTATGAGTTTACAAAAAAAAAAAGAGCTCAATCCCAGACGCAGCTATAAAACACAACCTGCAGCTTGCTGAGCCACCTTCACCCACAATGGCACAACCAACTCCGGAGCAGTCCCACAGTGAGAAACACATTTTATATCACAACCTAATAAATGTACACCCACCCACACACACACACACACACACAACTAAGCTAATATGAAAAAAACATACTTTTACCATGTGATATGTCATTTTCTAAAGGCTCCTTATAGCCATTAAATTGACTTCTCAATACACTAATGGGTTTCAATACCCAGTTTGGGGGAAAAAAAAAAAATGCAGTTATCTAGGGGCATAGCATCAGCAATAAACAAGGAAAAGTTGGATACATCCACATCTTCCGTTTAAGATGAAAAGTAATCCAATTAGAAACATGACTCAGCTCAGACTGGGACAGATACATGACAACTATCATGGCCTGGAGCAGACATTCTGAAATTGAGACTTCACAGGTGAATTTCAGACAGTTGTGAAGCTCCTAAAATATTAAAGGTATGCAAATTTTTCAAAGTAATTTATTACTCATAAAATTAAAAACAAATGAACATTAGGTAAGAAGAAAATGTACCTAAATAGTTTAAAATACCAAAGGAACCAAAGTAACCAGCTATGTTACCACCATTAAAAAAAAAAAAAATGCATCAGCATACATACACTTAAAGGCATAATAAGCAAGAGCAAAGTCTCAAATAAATGTATTATTATAAGATACACATACATGTTCATTCAAGGCTTTCTGCACCAATGGCCAACACTCTTTCAAGTAAGCTTCTCTGTATTTTGGGAACAAAGTTGAGAAACTGCTCTCCTCCAAAAGTCCTCTGGGATTGTCCTCTTTGGAAAAAGCTGGTTCCTTCCAGCCATCGGGAACAGTAAGGAGTTCTGATTCATCTACAGAAAGGAAAAAATTGACACATCACATTTTAACTGTCTTTTGGACACTTTATGAACATCCTATGCACATATTCATAAGCCTTCCAGTACTTCTTGCATTTCCTTTTCCCCGCTTTTTATATTATTCAAGAGTCGAAGAACATTCCTCTGTCATTATCAATTCACTGTATTAAAATTATCTGTACACACTTCAGTTGCCTCATAAGACAAAGTTCCTTAAGAGCAGAATCCCTCTTCATGCCAATTGGCATATGCCAGACAGTGAGCACTCCAGAAACGTGTACTGCATTACACTACCATAAAACTGAAGATCTCAATGCCATTGTGTTTAGTATTTTAAATACAATTAACCTTTCTGACTTTCCTGGAGTGTATGGAACCTGGGTGTGTGTGTTTGTATACAACTTCTGAAAGAGGATTCTAGTTTATCTTTCAGTTAATAATCTCGGGTAATTCTAGATTTTCCTAAGTGCCTTATTTCCACATGCGTTTCATAACTATAAAAGGTAGAATCTGTATTATTCTCATTTTATAGAAGATAGTCTAAAAAGGCTAAGTGACTTGCCTAAGGGAACACAAAGCTGACTCAGCCTGGGACTCCTTTCACTACAAGAAAATGCCTAAGGGCCATAAATTATCTTCTGAATCATGTATTTAAAAAACTTGGTACTGAATTTTAAGAACTCCTTAAATTCAACAGTTATACTCTAATTCAGTTATACTAAAAGGTATGCTCCATAGACTTTCAGTATCAGTATAAACTGTTAAGTCTGTCAGAAATGCAATTATTGGGCCCCACTCCAGACCTACTGAATCAGAATCTCTTCGACAAGGGACAGAAGTCTGTGTTTTACCACGCTCAACAGGAGACTCTTAAGCACAGTAAAATTTGAAAAGCAGGGCATTACCCTATGTTATCAACCTCAGACAGGTAAACTTTCTGCTTATACTCACATCCACTTTTCTATTTCTATTTCTGGTTCAAATCACAGACAATTCGCTAGTCTTCATATAAAGGATTCTCCAATGTCCTTTAAAGAACACAAATTCCACAAAAGTGATTACTTATGTATTATATACATTTTTTTTTTAAAGACAGGGCCTCGCTCTGTCACCCAGCCTGGAGTGCAGTGGCTCCATCCCAGCTCACTGCAGCCTGGACCTCCTGGACTCAAGCGATCTATTCTCTTGCCTCAGCCTCACAAGTAGCTGGTACTACAGGCATGTGCCATAATGTCTGGCTAATTTTTGTATTATATACATTTTTTTTTTAAAGACAGGGCCTCGCTCTGTCACCCAGGCTGGAGTGCAGTGGCTCCATCCCAGCTCACTGCAGCCTGGACCTCCTGGACTCAAGCGATCTATTCTCTTGCCTCAGCCTCGCAAGTAGCTGGTACTATAGGCATGTGCCATAATGTCTGGCTAATTTTTGTATTTTTGTATTTTTTTTTTGGTAGGGAAAGGGTTTTGCCATGTTGCCCAGGCGCATCTCCTGGGTTCAAGCAATCTCCCCTCCTCAGCTTGCCAAAGTGCTGGGATTACAGGCGTGAGTCACTGCAACTGGTTACTTACAATGCTTCCCTGACCAAGTCCCTATACAATATAAACACTTCAAAGGCTACGGATCAATTTTTTCAAAGTCCCCACTACAATCTCAGAAAAAAAATTGACAAAAGAAATACACAGGAGTTTCACAATTAAGGAAGGCCCAAAACATGTGAAAAGATACGCAACCTCATAGGTGATCAGAAAATGCAAATTAAAACTGCAACCAGATCCCATTTCATACCTACCAAAATGACAGAAATTCAAAATTCAGGTAACATCATGTATTCATATGAATGTAAGGCAATGAGAACTTTCGTCCACTGCTAGTGGGAACAAAACTGACACTAGCACTTTGGAAAAAAGTTAGCATTACTTACACACACCCTACACTTCAGTGATTCCAATCCTATGTTCACAACCTAAAGAAACCCTTGAACATGTTAACCAGAAGACAAGTACAAAGATGTTTTAGCAGTACTGTTTATAATTGCAAGCAATAGGAACAATCCAAATGTCCACCGACTGTAAAATGAAAAAAATAAAATTGGGGTATAGTCATACAAGGAAACACCACATAACAGTGAAAAGACTAAAACTACACCTACAAGTATCACCCTGTTTGAAAAACAAAGCTAAATCTAAGACACAGAAAAATGCATACGGTCCACTTTCATGTATATAAAATTTAAAAAGAGGCAAAATTAAGCCACTTCGTGACTACAAGAAGAGGAACAGAATGCAACGCAATTCAGAGTGGTTACTTGTGACAGGAAAAGAGAATATGATCTGAGAAGTGCAGGTAAGGGTTTGAGGGGTATGGTAATGCTCTATTTTACTTAACAGTCTGAATGCTAGTTTCTTGCATGGTTTTATTAAACTATATATAAGTTGTATCCTCTGCTATGTACGTTACATAATCATTTAATGAGCAACAACGAAGAAACCTTGAAAACTTTCCCAATGCATCTAAATTGAGAGTTCAATGTTTTTAACACTTCCTATGAGCCTGGTTGAACAGATCCCCAGGCTATTTCTGACTTCTCTGTCATTCATACTGAAGAAGACGGGTAAAACCAGACTACAACGCAGGAGTTAACAATTAAAAGGTAGCACAACCTAAAGAGTAAGGGCTGTGTCGTCTAGTATTTTAGCAATCTGACAAACAGGAATTGATAAATCTTCCAAAATGTCTTTACTGACAAACTAGAGCTAAGGACATGTCAGATAGCTCCTTTCCCCATATCTCACCCCATTATCAGGGTCCACTCCTGTATATCAGAACTACCTGCTCCCACCTCACCCTATTCCTCACTCCGTCAATGAGTTTCAGTCCCCTGCAGGCTACAAGGTTCCGCGGCGCCCTCGGCATTTTCTTAATACTCAATCTTTTACAGAAGACGTATTCAGCAACGGCTTCGCTTTGGGGACCCTTTAGCAAAAGGAATGAATTAGGAACACGTGGGTGGCACCATATCGGCCAGTCGTTCCTGTGGGCCCAGCCAACAATCTTATCAGCGATTATTGTGGTACTCAAATACACAGTACTGGCTCCAGGTGGTTTTATAAGTCCACAAGCAATCAGAAAAAAAAAACCATCGCAACTCAACGTCCACAAACCCCAGCCTTCGGTTCCCACATAACATCACCTTGGTTCTCCGGCTTTGGCTTCTGGTTACGAAATTCACTTTTTCCAGCCCCTTTTTCTCGCCGCTCTAAGGAGGGAGACGCCATTTTCAAACTGCTTCCGGTGACGCCGGAAATAAAACTGTTCTTAAATCCTACCGGCTAAAACGCCTACACTCAAAATGAGTTCCGCGAAACTCAGACGAGGAGACTTGCGCAGTTTTCCGTGCGTACGTGCGTTAAACCCCGCGCTTTTACACACCGGAGTTTCTCCTACGTGGCCAATGAAGAGCTGGAGACTTTCTCCCAGTATGCACTGCAACCATGGAGTTTGCGTACTGGGACTTGTAGTTTAGCAGGCGGTATGGGCAAATTGGACGCTGTCTTATCCGCAGTTTCCTCGTGGCCTCACGGGCTAACCTGGACCACCGGAGTGCGACCAGCCTGTCATTGATGTCATTCATTCTTTCGATAAAAATTTATATGTTGGCCAAATATGCGCTAGATGTTGGGAGGAAGTACAAATATGAGAATACAATGTATATTGGGCCTCGGCTGTAAGAAGTGACAGGAATAGCTACTATTTATTGTGAGAATACTTTGTTGCAGTACTTTATTTACATTATTTCTTATTTTAAAAACAATGACCAAATTAAACTTTCCAAAGTTGTTTCTGATGGTAATCTTCCCGAGTGTTGGTATTTCTCTTTCTAAGTCAGAGGGATGGTAATTCAACATTCTGACGTTTCTGAAGTATTTCAACTAGCCTAAGATTTCTCAAAATCTCTACTCGTTTTCTACTCCCAACATTGCATAGGGCTAAGGTGTGTAGAGAGGTTCATCACTGACTACAAATAACTACACTTTTAGAAGTATAAAAGTTCTTTGACATGCCAAAGACAAGATTTTTTAAAATTATTGATTTTATTGCTTGCATTTCTAAAATTTTCTGCAGCAAATAGGGAAAGTCTTTGATAGGTTAAATTCCTTGCATTAGTGAAATACACGTTTGTCTGATAAATCCACTCTCGTGTATCTTATACAAAAATTTAGGTTTTCATATATGAGATCCATGTATGAAACAGATTGTTACATATGGACAGAAGAACCCAAACTTTTTGCTTTTATCCTGTGCGTTTTATAAATGACAGGGATTTTATCTCTATTCTTTTAATTTCCTCAAAAAATAATGATAAATCCCTAAAATAGAACAAATAGCAACAGGTTAAAGTTATAAAGTGAAGAGTACACCTCATGAAGCAGGTTTTTATCATCCTTATTTCAAGTAACTCAATCAGTAATAAGTGGAAGGCCCGTCTTCAAGTCCAGGCAGTTTGACCTAGCAGCTTCAGGGGGCTACTATTCATTAGGAGCTTCAAAAGTGTTAGAAAGAGGGCTGATAGGGGTGAAGGCGAGGGAATAGTCTAGAAGTAATATTTGTGTTAAAAGCCCGTTTTTTCCTAGCAAAATTTTCTACAGAGGCTTTTATTCCCATTTACATATATATTTTTAATCTTAGTATTGCTCTTATTTGAGAAATATTGAGAATATGATGGAGATGGGAAAATGAAAACCCACCCATCCTTTTCTTGTCAATATTGAGTCTGTTTGTAAAACCCAACCTTTTAATTACCATACTATGCAGAGCTCAGGGTTCATCTTTCCCTTTTTGAAATTTTTACATTTTTTTTTTTTCCAAATCATTACTGAAAGGGGTGTAAAAACATAGATAACAATTGAGTTCTAAGATTCTCTAAGGTCTTCTAGACCTCCTATTATAGATGACACCACACTAAAACTGTCCTGTCTGCTTTCCAAAGAAAAAGATTCATCAGGCTCCTGCAATAAGTTATTTTAATATTAAATGATTCTTTCGCTTGCCTAATTCAAAAGCCCTCACGTTGTCAACCAACTGAATATACAATATAAAAACAATATATGATTGGAAGTTAAGTGAATTTTTTTTAAAAGTCTGTTACTTGCCTTCCAGAAGCCGATAATCTAATACAAGTTATATCACAGGAACAGGGAGTTATCTTACATATAGGATATAAAAACTTTTACTAAAAAATAAATCCTGCAACAAAAATCACTAATTTAAAAATATTGTAATTACTAATAATCATATACTGAAGAGTATATATAATTATACAGTACTTTTTCCTCTGTGATAATATGAGATAAAAATATAGCAAGATATTAATTTGATGCTAGTAGTTGTAAGAAGTAATGTATAAAAATTAAATGAATAGAAAAATAATTGCGTAGACTGAGAGGCTGAAGCTTTTCCTTAGTACACATACATTTTTTTCAGTTTTAAAACAGACTCTGATGCTTAAATACTGTTACTCATTAACTGAATTTTCATATTTTGGCTTGACAAGCAGGAATGGCACATATGTATACTTACTAAAAATTAAAATTGACAGTCAAATTGAATGAGGACAATGTTTCAACAATTTGGTTAGACTATGTTTTAAGCAGTTTTGAAGAAAAATTTTAAAATAAACATGGTATGGAATAAATAAATTCGGAAATTAATTCGACTAGTTCTTCTAAGAATTAAACATTATAACCACAATATTACATATGAATGGTTTAAACTTTTAAAACCTCTAAACAATAGTTTCCACATGTGGTAACTATTTGCTCTAGATTCCTTACTTTGGAAAAGAGCAGATCTAACTTCAACATCTTCCAAAAATTCATTAGAATTGAAAGAACAATTTAATTTTAAATAAATATTGAATAATAACTAAATACTCTAAATATTTATTGAATACATATTGAAACTAAATATTGAAAAATCTCCTAAAATCACCTTAAAAGACTATAAACTCAAAAGTGATTATCAAAATGATAGTGTCCAAATTTTCATCTCATTTTCAGTGATTCACTGATTATAAAGTATTCAAAATAATAATTTAAAATTTAAAATGATGAGAAATAGGATACGAAAAATAAAGGATATAAGAGAGATGGGGCAAAATATTCACAAAACATTTAATGGTTGATTACAATAATATTCAAGGTGATAAAAAGATGTAAGCAATTCCATTGAAAAATAAGGAAAGGCCGAGAGCAGTGGCTCATGCCTGTAATCCCAGCACTTTGGGAGGCCAAGGCAGGCGGATCACGAGGTCAGGAGATTGAGGCCATTCTGGCTAACATGGTGAAACCCCATCTCCACTAAAAATACAAAAAATTAGCCAGGCATGGTGGCACATAACTGTAGTCCCAGCTACTAAGGAGGCTGAAGCAGGAGAATCACTTGAATCCAAGAGGTAGAGGTTGCAGTGAGCCGAGATCATGCCACTACATTCCAGCCTGGGTGACAGAGCAAGACTCCATCTCAAAAAAAAGGGAAAAAAAAGAAAAACGGAAAATATATTAGTAGATATTTATGATGGTTAATTGTAAGTGTAAACTTGACTGGGTAATGTTGTCCCAATATTTGGTCCTACAATATTATGGATGTTTCTGTGAGAGTACTTTTAGATGAGATTAACATTTAAATCAGTGAACTTTGAGTAAGGCAGATTGTCCTCTATACTGTGGGTGGTCCTCATCCACTCAGTTGAAGACCTGAATAGAGAAAACACATTGACCTCTCCTGAGAAAGAAGAATTCTGCAGCAGAAGTCCCTTGGACTTGGATTGTAGTATTGTCTCGTCTTTGAGTCTCCAACCTGACAGCCTACCCTGCAGATTTTGGACTTGCCAGTCTCCATAAACATAAACATATGAGCCAATTTTTTTAAATAAATAAAAATAAATTACATACACACACAGGTTTTGTTTCTCTGGGGAGCCCTAATACATTTTGTTTCTCTGGAGAGCCCTAATTAATACAACAGTTTATAGTAGAGCATATCCAAATGATTGACAAACATATGATGTTCAACCTCACTACTGTCAACAAGTATACAGACTTAACAATGAAATATCACTTCTCACCCACCAGATTGAAAAAAAAGAAAAGAAATAATAAACATACATTTTAAAAAATAATACTGCTAGAGGAAATAATACTCTCATACACGGCTAGTGCAAATGTAAACTGTTACTGCCTTTTTGCAGAGCAATTTAGCAATATAAAATATACACATATGGTTCTGCAGTAATTCCACACCAGATAAACTATTGAATAGAAATAAAAGACCATTCATTAGAATGTTTGTACAATAGTGTTGCTTTTGACCTTCTATAAAAGCAGTTTAGTGAAATATACTTTGGAGCCATACTGACTAGTTTGCCACCTATTGGCTCTATAGCCTGAGGCAAGTTTCTTACATACTCCTGCTCAGTTTTTCAAAATGGGGAGAATAACCTAACCCCTCAAGAGCTTAATACATGTAAAGTGCAAAAAAAAAAAAAAAAAAAAAGGCTGGGCGCGGTGGCTCAAGCCTGTAATCCTAGCACTTTGGGAGGCCGAGGCGGGCAGATCACGAGGTCAGGAGATCGAGACCATCCTGGCTAACACGGTGAAACCCGTCTCTACTAAAAATAAAAAAAAAAAAAAAACTAGCCAGGCGAGGTGGCGGCGCCTGTAGTCGCAGCTACTCGGGAGGCTGAGGCAGGAGAATGGCGGGAACCCGGGAGGCGGAGCTTGCAGTGAGCCGAGATCGCGCAGCCTGGGTGACAGAGCAACACTCCGTCTCAAAAAAAAAAAAAAAAATTAGCACATGGTAAACATTCAATAGGTGTTAGCTATTATTGTTTATACTGGCAAAAAGTAAAAGCATTTGAACTATCAATTAGGGATCTAGTTAAATAAATTGATGTTACTTTCATAACCATGGGCTATTATACAACCATTTATAAGAATTAATTAAATCTATATTAAAAATACATAGAATATTGAGCAATAAAAGCCAGATACATAATATAAACATACATATACACATACACACACGTATATATAATATAATCTCATTTTTCTAAGACAAACCATTCATTTATTCAACAAATATTTATTGAGCACCTATAACGTTCAAGACACTGTTCTAAATACTTGGTTATCTTCTATGTGCTGAACATAATATATGAATATATGAGTTTGTATGTGATTGTACAATAAAAAAATTGGGATGGATACATATTAAGCTTTTAAGACTGGCTAACTTAGAGATTAAGGTGATTAGAAAAGAAGATGAAACTAGGCAAAAAGACAAAAGAAGATGTCCATGATAAAATGGCATGTATAATATGATCCTATTTACATACGACTGTCTGTGTGTGTTTCTGCATGAAAAGACGGTCATCTGTATGTTGACTATGTTACCTCTCAATATAGAGACATTTCAAAGTATGGCAATTAAATAGCAATACAGTTGTAAATCAATCACAATATACATCATTTTTCTTTAACATCCTTGGAAATCTGAACATAAATATGTAAATAAATAAATATAATATGTACTTAAATGATACTAAAAGGAAAAAGAAAAATGGACGTCTCTAAAGGGTTTCTTGGCACAAATCTAGAATCTAGATTGGAAAGTCCTTGGGTCACAGCCACAGGCAGGCCCTTTTTTTTCCTTTTGGAGACAGAGTCTCACTCTGTTGCCAACACTGGAGGGCAGTGGTGCGATCTCAGCTCACTGCAAGCTCTGCCTCCCGGGTTCAGGCAATTCTCCTGCCTCACCCTCCCGAGAAGCTGGACTACAGGCGCCCGCCACCACGCCTGGCTAATTTTTGCATTTTTAGTAGAGATGGGGTTTTGCCATGTTGGCCAGGCTGGTCTTGAACTCCTGAACTCAGATGATGCACCCACCTCGGCTTCCCAGAGTCCTGGGATTACAGGCGGGCCCTTTTTGATTGTGACTTCTCTCCCCTTTGGCTTCTTAGGCAATCTAGACCCACATGCAGCCACCATCATCTTCCTGTGGGAAATGTGGTCCACCTGTTCTTACCCAGCTTATTCATTTTCCCAGGGAAAGCACAAATTGGCCTCACAAGAACTCTCCTTTGGAATTAAAGACCTTAATTCTCACAGTAACCAGAGGATAGAGGGGAAAGAAAGAGTAAGGATGAGATTTAACAATGTCTTTGGAGAGTGCATTATCTCTTATTAAAGCAAACAGGAAAGTGGCAAATAAATGTGGTTTATTTTTATTTAACATTTCTACACTCATTTATCAGAGATAAAAATTAATTTTGCAGAGCAATCTACTTTCTTGCTAACTTTATTTTCTTTTTTAAATAATCTAGATAGGATTTCTCAAATACATAAGGTTGACACATTTTTCTTTTCTTTTTTTAAATCTTATTTTAGGTTTAGGGGTACATATGCCGGCTTGTTATATAGCTAAACTCGTGTCACAGGGGTTTTTTGTACAGATTATTTCATCACCCAGATACTAAACCTAGTACCCAATATAATTATTTTTTCTGCTTCTCTCCTCCAACTCTCCACCCTCAAGTAGGCCCCAGTGTCTGTTGTTCCCCTCTTTATATCTATGAGTTCTCATTATTTAGCTCCCACTTATAAGGGAGAAATGCGGTATTTGGTTTTCTGTTGCTGTGTTAGTTTGCTAATGCAGGAACAGAAAAATGGATGGAGCTGGAGGCTCCATCCTCCAGCTCCATCCATGTTCCCTCAAAAGTCATGATCTCATTCTTTTTTATGGCTGCATAGTCACATTTTTATTTTCTAGCATCTATTAGCTGCTTTTCATTCCAGTCAACTTTATGGAAAAGTTTAAAATTCTAAATCAATATATCTAGCAACATCAATAACGGTAATAATGTCTGTGGCTGTAAAAGTAAGCCTATTTCATGATGAAATAGGTATCTAATCAAGCACACACAAAAAAGTACTCTAGCTGTAAACTAATTATACATAATCAGTCATAAAATTTTTATATTATTAACCTATCTTTAGAAAAATAAAGTGTTGATAAAAGTGAATTGTTCTGCATGTAACCCAAGAACCCTGGGAACCTAGGAGAGAGACCAGATTTATGAGACATATTCAGTAAGTCTTGAAATGCTTTCTGCTTTGCAGCAGGATGTTTCATGTAGTTAGTGGTGCCTGGGTGAAATATCTTTGCAGGATACCCACCTCTTTCTCCAGGGCCACACTTAGCAAATTCTGTGGAGAATAAGATATAATGTACTGTTTTGACTCTAACCAGACATTTAATTTGAGATAAGGCTTAACCAACTGGTTTCTTTTATTGTAAAATGAGAGAGTTGGGTTAGATTACTGTTCCTCAAACTTTAACCAGCCTCAGAATCACTTGGAGGGGTGGTGCCACTCTCACTTTATAGTAGTGTAATAGGCCCTGAGAATTTGCAGCCCCCCAAAAGCAAAGAATTATTGAACCCAAAATATCAATAGTGTCAAGGATAAGACACTCTGGCCTAAAGGTGTTCTGAGTTGCTGTTATTCTACTTTAAAGGGCCAGTAAGTGCCTAACCAAGCATGCCATGAAAGCAAAGTTATTTTCCACTTTTTTTTTTTTTTTTTTTTTTAACCTACCTAGGGCAGTATTAGCTTGATACCAAAGCCAAAGATTCCAGATAGTTGTTCATTATTATGCTGGGCTCCTCAGTGGACAGTTCTCCATTTTCCTCAACCACATCATTGTGGAATTCTGTTGCCTCATGACCTGAAAAAACATTGGGATTTGTACATACAGTGGACCCTTTGAGTTGAAAGACACTCATTACTACTTGAATATTAGTCTCTTCAGGCCCCAAGCCAATAAAAGGTTCATATTTTCATTGGGAATCTAGCCTCTCCTATCATTTACAGGCAATCTTCCCTCTTTCTCTTTGTGATTGTTTTCATTGATAAGGACCAACTTTGATATAATTTTCAGTTAGAACATTCTTCCCCCTAAAGGAAAGCTGGAATACATTCCATGATATTAGGTTCCACCATAGCAACAGAAGGCTTTTTAATGCATGCATGAATATTCAGGATTTAATCAGTGGCATGTGAAATGTATTAATACTACTGAGAATTATTATTTAATGCTAATATAAAAAGCAAATGACAGTCTTGTATTTGTAAACATAACACTGAAAGAACATTTGAACCTTTCTGGAAAGCAAATCTTTAGTCATTTGTTGAAGCTACATGCCTTTCCCATCCTTTAGATGGCAGTAACTGCAGATGGCCCATAATAAAATGAACACTTTAAGTGAAATATTTTAAACATTTAATAGATTTATATTTTTAAAAGTGATTTCATGATGTTAATAAGATGGTGGCCTTGCTTCTTCATTGTTTCAAATTCTCTAATTAAAAAGTCTAGCTACCTGACACTGGGAGGTGTAAATGCAGGCTTTAACATAAGACTTTTTATCATCCAACAGTGATTTTAACCTCTTTTTGTTTACCGCTCCCTTGACTATGTGATGAAATACAGACTCTTTCCCCAGAAGAGCACACATTTGCATAGACATAATAGCACTCTTCCATAGAGTCCCTAGAGGATCAGGCTACCAGTTTAGGGGGCCTTGTCGTAACGCAACATGAGAGGAGTGTCTCAGAAGCCTCAATCTGATCTTATAAGCACCAGAGTGTCCTGCTCTTAGAGTTGCCCAGGGGAGGCAGAGGGGATGGAAGAACTCTTCACTTTTAATAAATAAGCATATGCCTTCTTCTATAATTATGATTTCAGTATGATTAAATAGTTGCATAAAACTATACTTCTCAAGACTCCTTTGACAGCAAGTCATAGAAACTCAAAGTAACTTAAGTAAAAAAGAGGACGTATAGTCCTATCACCTGGAGGAACTCACCAGTGTCATCAAGACAGTCATGCCCTCTCTCAATCACTGGCGTGTTCTCTCTCTCTTTCTCTCTGTCCCCCTTCTGTGTCTATCAGCAGTTCTAGGATGTACATTCTCAACAGAAGAAGAGCTTCTTTTTCTGAAGAGTTATATCAAAAGTCCCAAGTGACCACTTACATTTAGTTTGGTATTTATCATTTCCATGCATATTTTTGTTTTTATGGCTACTACGTGCACACATACACACATACAATTTTTAAACAAGATAAAGTAGGCTTTACATATTCTATATAACATATTGTACATAATACTTAATATGTATATTATTATATAACTATTTTATATTAGTTACATTCATATAATGTATATGTATATTATATATACAAAATTATTATGTGCATGTACTTATGAAACTTGCTTTTTATGTAAAATATATTGTTTTTAGATATATTCATCTTGAATCCTTGTAAGGCTAGTTCATTCATCCACAGTAAATAACTTTTGAAATTAGTTTATAAAAGACATTGTATTTCCATCTTCGTTGCATTCTCTCTCTAGCTCTTACTCTCTCTCTGTCTCTCTGGAATCACTCATTCTGAGGAAAGCCAGCTGTCATGTTGTGAGCAGCCCTGTGGAGAGGTCCCTGTGGTAAGGAACTGAAACCTGTCAACAGCCGCGTGAGAGAGCTTGGAGGCAGCTCATGTAGTTTAGTCAAGCTGTCTGATGACTGCAGCGCTACCTAATTGTAGCCTCCTGGGAGACCTTGAGCTGCAAGCTCCCAGCTGAGCTGCTCACAAATTCCTGACCCTCAGAAACTGTATAAATGTTTAATTTATTTATACATTAATTTGGGGAATAATTTTTACACAGACAAACATAACTAACACAATATTGAAGCAAATCTAAGCGTTTATCAATGTATCAGGCTTTGGTGGGAATACAGACCTGAAACTTTTTCTCGGTAGGAATAATTTTCCCTGGTTCTTGCCACTAGAGGGCAAATGGTCACAAATGATGGCTTTCTCTATTTCCATACAACTCAGATGTCGAAGCAAAAATTCTTAAGAGACTATCTGCTCTGTTGCCTTACAGATGAGTATACGAATGCCCACAGACATTAACTTACTTATTCACACAGGCTAGATCTTAATGTAAGAACTCAGCTGCAGTTAATAACATTTTTTTTAAATTTTTGTGATATACACCTATACATTTATTTTTAATTTTTGTGATATATACCTATACATCTATACATAGGTATATATATTTATGGGGTACATGAGATGTTTTGATACAGGAATGCAATATGAAATAAGCATATCATGGAGAATGGGTTATCCATTCCCTTGGGCATTTATCCTTTCAGTTCCAAACAATCCAATTAAACTATTTAAGTTGCTTTAAAGTGTACAATTAAATTATTATTGACTACAGTCACCCTATTGTGCGAATCAGTTAACTATTAATTAATGCTGCTATTTCTGAGTCACAAGGTACAAATAAAGAAGGCTTTATCTTTTTCATTTCAACTAGCATGTTAAAATTCCTAAGATCACAAAACTTATGATAACAACTATTGCTATTTATTGGGTACCTATTATGAACAACTTGTTATACACATGTGCTACATGTCTTTTCACTTAACCTATATAATGAAGCTTTGAAACTTATGCCTGTGAATGCATGAGGGTCAGGGTCTTGTCAAAGGACACATAGCTAGAAGAAGGAAAACAAATTCGATTCTGATAGCGGTTAAATCTCTTTGCAATATTTTTCTTAGGGGACAGCTCATAGCCTCTGATTATACCAGAAGTTTGTTGCTTCTGGAAACTTTTAGTTTGTTGAGACATTTAAATGATTGCCATGTAACACTGAAATGGAAAAGAAAAAAAAAATTGATCACCTTCCTTCCTTTTTTCCCAGAAAAATTCTCTCTCTCTCTCACACACACACACACACACACACACACACACACACACACACACGACTCTCTCTCTCTCATACACACACTTATTGCCTCTTTTCTTCATTCCAGCGAACCAGCTTTGTGATATTGGTTAACCTTCCTAGAGCTTCATTTTGTTGCACCTTCTTCATTTCTAAAGTAAGAACACACCTACCTCTTTCAAGCTCTCAGCAGGGATGCTGTGATGATTAATGAAAAAGTCTTCATGAATCTCATTTTATTTTGCAGAAGACAGAAGTTTAATAAAGCTAAAGAATAATTATAATGATAATTAGTCATATTTTAGGACAGATGGGCAAGTGTCTGGCAGTGGTAGCTTAGCTGGAGCTGTTGCCACTCCAAAGCAATAAAGTAATGTCAATATGTCAGCCACATCAAGTTAGGCGCCAGGAGGGTGCAATAGCAGCCTACTTCACACACTGCTTTGTTCATCGTCTCTGCTTGGCACACACTGGGACAGAATTACAGCATTTTTAAGACAGACAGGCAGGCAGTTCGAGAAGAACCACCTCATTATTGTGGCATATAATCTCCAAAGATGGCCACCATTGATAGCTTCCTTCCTTGTTGATATGCATGTTACTCCTCACACCAAGAGAGTGAGTCTACCCCCTTGACTCTGGCCTGGCCCTGTGACTTGTTTAGATCAATAGAATACTGGACTATGACTCTGCTAATTCTAGGTCAAGCCTTTAGAAAGACTGGCAGCTTCTGCTTTCTCTATCTTGGAAGAATGATGCAGGATAAGAAGTTCAAATACCCTGAGCCCATCTCACTATGAGAAAGCCCAAGCTTGCCATGTGGAAAGAGAGACAGAAACAGGCCTGACCAGATCTGGGATATTCCAGTCATCCCAGCTGAGGTTCTGGATGTGAGTGAAGAAGCAATCTTAGACATTTCAGCTTCAGTAGCTACCATGTGGAGCAAAAGAACTGTTCAGTCCAGATTGTTTTTAAGCCATTGTGTTCTGGCATGTTTCTTATACAGCAATAGATATTTGAAACACCTATCAACATTTAACATATGGATTATACACAGACAGTCTCCAACTTATGATGGTTAGACTTATAATTTTTTGACTTTCTGATGGTACTCGGAAGGTCAAAAAATTGCCAGTCTAACCTTCATAAATTGGAGAGCCATCCTGTTTTTCACTTTCAGTATAGTATTCAATAAATTGCATGAGATATCAAATACTTTATTATAACATAGGCTTTGTGTTAGATTATTTTTCCCAGTTGCAGGCTTGTATAAGTGTCTGAGCACATTTAAGATAGGCTAGGCTAAGTTCTGATGTTCTATAGGTTAGGTATATTAAGTACATTTCCAATTTAGATTATATTTTCTAACTTATGATGGGTTTATCAGGACACAATCCCATCATAAGTTAAGGAATGTCAGTAGGGCTAAATGAGATTGATAAGCTCCCTGATCTCATAGTGTTTATATCCTAATTGGGGAAGACAAATAACAACAACCAAAGCAAAAAGATAATTTCAGTTGGTGATAATGCAATTAATCTGGGAAGGATAACGTGACGGCATTATTATCAGAGTCTTTCTAAGGGTTCCCCACAATGCATCAGCAATAAACTAACAAACAGAAAAAAAGAAAGAAAATGTTCACTGCGAGATTGTAATACAGTTTAATTATCTGTAACCTAATTACCAGTTTCGGTTTATGAGTAAATACCACAATTCATGGTGTGGGCAGAGCTTTCCCATTTTACACTTTGAGTCTTAGCTTTGTTAACACTGAAACTGATCTGGTGGGTTAGATGTTTTTCTCCTACCTTATTAGCTTTTTAGGGAAGTAAAAATGGAATGTGCTAGCACTGGTGGTACAGGTATTTTGCTGGTCCACATACTGTCTATTAACACAGTCCCTAAGACAGAGCCATTGATGTACTCAAAGAAAATGAATTTGATGGGCATCTTGACTGATTCCATGCCTTCGCTATTGTAAATAGCACTGTAATGAACATATGAGTGCATATGTCTTTCTGGTAGAACAATTTATTTTCCTTTGAGTGATGGAATTGCTGGGTCAAATGGCAGTTCTGTTTTAAGTTCTTTGAGAAATCTCCAAACTGCTTTCCATTGTGACTGAACTAATTCACATTGCCACCAGCAGTGTATAAGTGTCCCCTTTTTTCCATAGCCTCACCAGCATCAGTTGTTTTTTTGACTTTTTAATAATAGCCAGTCTGAGGCCAGGCGTGACGGCTCATGCTTGTAACTCCAGGATTTTGGGAGGCTGAGGCAGGCGGATCACTTGAGGCCAGGGGCTAAGACCAGTCTGGCAAACATGGCAAAACCCCATCTCTACTGAAAAACTACAAAAAAAAAAAAAAAAATTAGCCAGGCATGGTGGTGGGCACCTGTAATGCCAGTTACTTGGGAGGCTGAGGCAGGAGAATCACTTGGACCCAGGAGAGAGAGGTTGCAGTGAGCGGAGATCACACCATTGCACTGCAGCCTGGGTGACAAGAGTGAAACTCCGTCTCAAAAAATAATAATAATAATAATAGCCAGTCTGACTGGTGTGAGATAGTATCTTATTGTGGCCTTGATTTGTATTTCTCTGATGATTAGTGATGTTGAGCATTTTTTCATATGTGTGTTGGCCACTTGTATATCTGCTTTTGAGAAATGTCTGTTCATATCTTTTGCCCACTTCTGAATGGGGTTATTTGTTTTTGCTTGTTGGATTGTTTAAGTTCCTCATAGATTGTGGATATTAGACCTTTGTGAATATTTTATCCCATTCTGTAGGTTGTGTGTTTACTCTGTTGATAGTTTCTTTTGCTGTACAGAACCTCTTTAGTTTAATTAGGTCTCACTTGTCAATTTTTGTTTTAGTTGCAAGGATAGATTGGATAATGAAATGTGGTACATACATGCCATGGAATACTATGCAGTCATAAAACAGAACAAAATTATGTCCTTGGCAACAACACAGATACAGCTGGAAGCCATTACCCAAGCAAATTAATGAAGGAAAAGAAAACCCAATACCACATGTTCTCACTTACCAGTAGGATCTAAACACTGGGTACTAATGGACATAAAGATGGCAACAATGGACACTCCAGACTACTAGAAGGGAGAGGGCAAAAGTGTTGAAAAACTAACTACTGGGTACTATTTTCAGTACTTAGGTAATGGGATCAA